GGGCCTTAAGAAATAGAGCAAGGAGTCATCATCTTAAACTTGAAAGAAAATTGCTTAAACAAGATAGGAGTTAATTTATTGATTAAACAAAATCTATGCCCTAACTCTCTTGACCATTGCTAAATTTTAATTTAAATCTTGTGTGCCTCTTACTTAAAATATCTTTTCATTCAATTTTCTGTTTTAAATCAATTGCAAATTTTAAAAGTTTTAAGATATCATTTAATTCTAATATCATCTAATTAGTTCAATTTCAATAAAATAATACGTGGTAATTCATTTCTCGTGAAACAATACTTTATTTATCACTTTATTATTTACAGAACTTAGTATACTTGTCAAAGTTACTCTAACTTATTTTGTCTTACCATATTTCTTTGTAAAGGAATATAGTTAGAAGAGAAATTATTAAATACACCTAATGTAACACAGGAATTTGCTTATTGATCAAAGGGGCCAGAAAGTGTAGAGCTTCCTAAATTGATTAATTGTGCTCAATCAAGCAGCTACATCCCTCCCTCAACATATTTTAAGTCGACTATCTAAATCACAATATCTTAGTTGTGGTGGCTGTCATAATTCATATCAACATTGATGGTTAGTACACAAATTTTCACAGCAAAGGAGTAGGAAGAGACATGCATGTTCATATTCTATTATGGGATGAAAATGATAAATTTAAAAAATATATGAAATGAGACAAAAATCACGTTACCACAATTCGTATATGATTTTGTGTTTATATTTTTGTACCACGAGGTCCACGAAGCAGTTTTCTAATCCTACGTCTTACTTCTGAGTTATATCAACCACAATCGACTCATATATATATTATACGTTTCAATAAAACTACAACTGTTACCACAATTCAAAAACCCTAATTTAAATCAATGTTGTCTTAAAATGTTTGGCATATGTATTCAATAATCTAATACAAACTAAATCTAACATTTAAGATAGAAAACAAAAAAATTTAAGTAATAAAACCATTAATCTCAATTCTCAATTCTCAATTCTCCATTAATAATCTATAAAGTAAGCCATGTTAAGTGGCCATTTTTTGGCCTCAATAAAACCCTGCTTATGAATTAACATCTTAATTTCTAGACGTGAGAATCCTTTTACTATACTACTCTAAACAATTTTTTTTTTCATAAACATGCTTTGAAATCAAACTTTATACAAAATACTTAAGAGAGTCAATTAGATTTGAGAGTATTAATACGGTATCGCATTCTATTTCTAGATGTAGGGATACTTGATTTTGCTTCTTTGAACCATTTTCTTTTTTCATAAATATACTTTGAATTCAAACCTTAGTTAGTATACTTAATTATAAGAGAATCAATTGTGTTGGACTTTATTAATACCATATCATGTCTTATTTGTGAAGGTCACAAATGACCTATATTAAGTTACAACGCAACAATCATTATGACCAAAATTTAAAACCCTAATTTAGGTCCAAATTGTCGTATTACATTTAGAGTGTGTTAGCTAATGTAAATTTATTATGTATTTAGGAGTTTGTAATTTTTTTCAATAAATTAAAAAAATTATAACTTTAAAATTAGTTTATATAAACATTATTTCAAATAACATTTAATTTACTATAACTTAGTTTACTTTTCATTTTTTATTTTTATTTTTATGCCTGGCCTTTTAAATAATCTAGACTGATACAAAATACCTTAAATCATTCTATCCCTCACATAAGATCATTCTCTCCCAAATTGTTTTATCTAAATGATTGCTGATATTAAATAAATAATAATAAATTATTAATTATTTAATTGAATAGTTGATAATAAATAAATAATATAAGGGATACTTAACTTTAAAATTATATTAATATAATATTATATATTTTTTAATCATTTAAAATATTTAATGAATTATAAAATAATTTTATTGAATAACTCTAATTCAACCAACTAAATATAAATTATAATTTATAAACATTTAGTAACAAGTCACTAACTTTAAGCTAATTTTACTTAAATATACAAAACTTTCCCATAAGTTATTTAAAAAGATCAAGTAACATAACAAGTAATAGTCGATTAAATATCTATAAAGTAACTCGTTTTTAAGTGTTTGGTAACGTTTGATTTGAGTAATTTATTCCATTCTATATTTAAAGTATCCAATAAAGAAAAATTTGGCAGGTAATAAAATAATAACTAAATTCTAATATAAAAATAAAGTATTCTCTTTGCTTTCAAAGATGCGAATACTAAATATTTTTTTCATAGTATTTTTAAGTAGATACTTTTGTCTATTTTTAAAAAAACAAAATTGTCTATTTAACATAGCCCTATTAAGATTTTTTTGAAAAAAAATATTATAGTTTACAAATTTGAATACATATTATATTTTTAAAATTCATTAAATTTTACGGCACTTAAAAATTGATTTCTTTTCGATGCCCTAATTTTTTTTCTAGTTTTTATTCTCCATGACGGTGCTACCCTTCCACCTCACCTCCACCGCTTTGTTCACCTCCTCAGTTTCATCATTTAATCAAAGCAATCAACAAGTAACGAGTTGATATACAAGAAAGGCAAATCCAAACTAATATTTTAAGGAAATTGATTAAAAAAATTTATTTTATTTTTTGTCAAAAAGTATATAATCTATAAACCTCTCTTTATAAGTTAAATGCGGTCTAACATATTTTTCAAGAAAAAATTACTTTTAATTTATTAACCAAGATTCTTGACAATATTTTATAAGAAAAGGTCTATTCACTAAGTATTCGATAATGGTTAAAAAAAATTATTTAAAACATCATATAAAAAAAGTTTGTATTTTTTTAAACAATGTTCTCAACCTTTGTCATAAGAAAATAATATAAGAGAGTTGTGCTTTAATTTATACAATACACTTTTATATTATATTTTCTTTATTACATGGGAGTACAAATAAACATAAATTACGTAGTTATTAAACAAGTGTTTTTAATGTACAGGTGACAAACCAAGTCAATACCCAGAGACGATGCATTTCGGTGACCACGTGAAGGAGCATCATGTAACAAAGACAAAGGGAACTTTGATGTTAATTTTTTTCATGAAGATAATTATCATGACTACATCGGAGGTTAATGAAACTTTAGGAGAAAATAAACATATAACAATGAAACAAATTGTAATGCATTTTTACTTATCTAGAAAGTAAATGGTACGTTTACATTAATTATAACTCGTCTACATATTAATTATTAAAAATATACAATAACATATCAAGGTAAATACGCGTTAAGAGAGTAAAGCACAGAGGTAAAATGTCAATTTTATTATATGAAGGGATAAAATATTTTTTAAGGAAATTGCATGAAATTTAAATATAATATGTCCTGTAAATTTTCACATCAAATTTATAATTTTCCATTTTGATAGACATTGAAGTAAAAAGAAATAATTTGATGTTTTGTCATTGAGGCTGTACTTAATTAAACACTTACAATAAACTCTTTTCACGTGAAAACTTATGTCATTAATTTAGTCTTGAAAATAATTGGATTAAGATGAAAAAATAAATTTAATAAATTATGCTAAAAACTTATTTTAAGTAAATTAAAAAATATTTATGAAAGTCATAAGCTAATTTTATAAGCAATCTATAAGCTCTTCCAAATACACCTCAAATCCATAACATACAATAATGATAATATATAAAAATTAAAAAAAAAAAGGCAATTCAAATCAAAATTTAAGATTAAATTTAGCATAATCTCTAAAACTGTTTGAGAGAAATATCTACCTTATTTGGGTAATCTATAGAACTACGATACAAAAGTTAATAATGATTTTAAAGACAACTTTAGTAATGGAGTTTTTTGTTTAAAAAAAAAATCAAATTTAGCTAACCTCCTTAGTAACGTGGAATCAAACAAGCTAGATCATCTACAAGCTAGACTCAACTTTTCCTTCATATTTATATAAATTTTCAATTTAATTATTTTTAAATTTTGCTTAAGATAATCCTTTATTTCCTTTTTTTCATTTTTTAATCAAATTATTAATTTTACTATCAATAAAAAATAAAAAAAACTCACAAAAAGGGTCAAAATTAAAATTAACGAATAAGATAAATTTTAAATTAAAAAAATAAAAACTAAATAAAACTTTAAATAAAGATAAGGGTAAAAAAAACAATTCAACTTGTCACTTTGTTGTTAGTTAATGAATATATAATAAACCTTTTATAGGCAAATGTTGATAATAAAATATTAAACTCTAATAAGTAAGCACACTTAATAACAAAAGAAAATGGTGAAGCTAACCAATTTTAATTCTCGGGTGCTGTCAATAATTGTAGCTATGATCAAATTACAGCTGGGATAATCAGCTGGATGCAACGTGATCTTGTAACACGGATTATAATACTATAAGTATTTTTATTGTTGTTATTTAATTAAAATTGAAATTTTATTTTAAGAAAGGTCAACATACAGATAAAGTAAATTTTCAATTTTAATCAGTAAATAATATTAAAAATACTCACAATATTACACCTAAGTTTTATTCTTATAAGAAAGAATATAATAAAATTTATTTATTGCGATAGTTTTGCCAAGCAACATTCCAAACGGTCCAATAGAAAATTTTCTTACAAAATAAGCATTCTTCAGTCGATTAGAGCTTGGTTAGCTTGATTTAGTTTTTTAATTCACCAACAAAATATAACAAGGTAATAATCAATAAACTTGGTACTGCTGGAAGTGTAACACAAGAAAAGATTGCATATTTATTGAATGAATCACTAATGCCCGACAAAAGAATTCATGTTGTGACCAGTATTTTGACACTTTTTATACAGTAAATTGACCGTATTTGTGTGTCTTGGAGAAAGTCTTTAGGCTTATTATATGAGAGAAGGAAAAAACAAAGTTCGCATGAGCATGTACAGATAAAAACAATTGTGTATATTGTTGCAATTATGCCATGTCCTTCACTTCGTGAAGATTAGGAAAAAGTAAAGCCCAAAGAACTACAAAGGATAAGCAATCTACAACAAACTCAACAATATACAATCTCAAAAGAGTGTTTACTCAGAATTTCATGCCAAAGGATACTATTGAAGGATCAAAACAAGTTTATCAAAGGAGAATCAATGAGCATTTAAGATCAATCCATCCTTCACAATTTGCTCCAACCAAGATGCTATATCTGACATTGGTGGACGTTGAGTTGGATTCTCTCTCACAGCAAGCTCTGCTATATCAGCAAGCTTAAGCAAAGGTTCAACATTTCTTGGAAGAGCCACATACCTATCAATTATGGCAGCTCCTTTCCCTTGTTTGATCAAAGGCACTGCCCATTCAACCACGTTTGGTGGAGTAAAATCTCTATCATAAGCCTTCCTTCCACTTAGAATCTCCAACAACACAATCCCAAAATTGTAAACATCATTTTCAAGGTCCCCATTAAGCTCTTTGTCACTTGAAGTAAGGAGTCCAAAGTCAGAAATTCTGGCCCCCCAATCCGAATCCAAAAGAATGTTTGAGCTTTTAAGATCCTTATGTGGCACTAGTTCCTTGTGAAGATACTCAAGCCCCTTTGCAGCCTGCATAGCTATCTTCAGCCTTAGGCTCCAATTAAGAGGTGAAAGGCCACCATGGAGGTGATCATAAAGGGTCCCATGAGGCATATACTCATAAACAAGTAACCTCTCTCCCATCTCCGCGCAATAACCCAACAAGTTAACAATATTACAATGGCGAATTTTGCATAGAATTTCCAGCTCCATTTCAAAATCACGGTTATTTGTGTGAATTATGGTTGCAGCATTTGCTCTCTTCATAGCAACCACTCTCCCATCAGCCAATGCAGCTTTGTAAACAAACCCATAACTCCCCCTTCCAAGCTCATTAAACTCCTTAAACCCATTAGTAGCATCTTTCAACTCTGAAAGCCTAAAAACCTGAGGCACACCAGGACAAGAAGCCACGGAAGGAGAAGAGTGAAGAGCAACGTTCACATCATCCTCTTGCTCCGCTTTACCTATGCAAGACTTGGACTGCTTCTTTCCCCTTGCTCTTCTAGCAGCAACCAAACGGATAAAAACACACCCACAAGTCAAAATCATCAAAAAACCCAACACTGAAAACCCAACTATCACCACCCATCTACGCAATCGATGCCAATGCAATCCCGTTGAAGAGTGAAGCCCACAAACACCAAAACAAGAACTGTTCTGGCAAAGAGAACAAGCAGTGCAAACTCTATCCATGTTCACAGTACAAGGACTAGACAAAAAGAAACCTTGAGAACAGTTCAACCCACAAGGTGAACAAATCCTCAAACCCTCCTTAACACAAAGACTCGTCAAATCAGGCTCATTGAGAACACTCACATTGAAAGCAAATTCCCCAATCCCACAAGAACCAGCCATGCATAACCCAGGACTTGAAAGCTCCATAGGAGGATCAAAATCAGGCTTAGAAGCATTCACCAACCAACAATCCAAAAGAAGATCATCTTCTCTTATGCCACAAGTAGTGTAATCCGAAGAAGCAATAGCCATAAAGCCATAACCTTTAGGAACCACAGAGGAATTCAAAGCACCCCAACACTCCACAACATGATTATCCATTCTCACTCCACAAAAATGCCTCGCCCCAGCAGATAAAGACACCAACCGAATCTCACCCACTGGAGGATCCGAAAACGAACCCGGGTCGCCCCAACATTTCAATTCACCCGAAACGTTAAACACCCCACAAACGGAGCTCCGACCCGACGCCAACACCGTGAAACTCTCCCTCACGTTGGAAATTCCCAAGCTCCCTGAATCGGGTCCCCAACACACGAGCCCACCATTCCTCACCTCGCCGCAGGTGAACCCCTCGCCGGAAACAACCGTCTTCACCTCCAGATTCGCCGTGGATTGATCGTAGAACGAATCACTGAGTTTCGCCACTAAGGTCCTATTCGCGGTGGTCGAGATTTCCCAGCAATCCACGTTGCCGGAATCGCGATCGGCGTAGTAGGATCCTCTGACGGCGCAGACGTGGCTCTTGCCAGCGGCGATATGGGAATAAGCGGTGTTCCGGTACGCTGGAGGCACGAGAACAAGATCTGAGCTTGGCCTGGTGGTTGCGTCCCAGCAATAAGCTTGAGAAGTGTTCGCTAAAATGCCACAGAGAAAACCTTCTCCGCCGGAAAGCGCTGACATGGCAGGGAGAACGTTGGTGAACGAGGGAAGAGGCGATGACGTGGCGTTGTCCCCCCAGCAAATAACGTCTTGCTTGCCACTGGCATCGATGGCGCAAAAAACCTCGTCTTTCCCGAAGGAAGCGGAGATGGGTCCCATTGCACCGAAGGAGTGTGCGGTGTTGGGAAGGAAGAGGAATAGAGATAGAAGAAGAAGAAGAAGAAAGAGAGAAGAATAGTGAGAGAGGTTACGGAGAGTTTGCATGGTGGCGTTGGGATTTGGATTTGGGAGAGAAGGGTGCGTGTGGTGTCATGGACTCAGCTTGTGATGATGACGACGATGATGGTGTTTGGAAGTAAGAAGCGTGTGAGTGAGTGAGTGAAGTGACGATGATACAACGTGGGTGTCGCCATTTTTACAGTTCACATCCCGACCGTTACAACCTCAATGTACCGAACTAGTTTCGTTACTTTTATCTTTCTTTTTACTATTTTTGTCATATCCCTTTTCTTTTTTATTTAAATATCTAACAATGTCAAATATTAACTTCCTCTCACATGCTTCCCAGCCTCTCCAAACTTCCTTTTGAACCTCATAAATGTGCTTTTTCCAATTTCATTACATCCAAGTAAAAGCATGTTCCACTCAAAATAAAAGCCATCTAAGTTTTCCATTCATTCGAGATTTTTGTATTAAATTCAACTTCAATGTAATTCAAATAATTAATTAATTTTGTTAACTTCAAATTTTAAATCTGAGTTTAAACACTTACAAATAGTAACTTTTTGTTTTTAAAAACATTTATTATTTTTTATATTCTGATAATACTAAATGATTTTTTTAATATACGTTTATTACTTTTAGATTAAGTTAACATTTTCTATTGTTAAAATAAATTGAACACTTTTAAGAAATCAAAACTTGATTACATATTTAGCAAACTAACTATGTACTAATTATGACGAATCTTGGTGATAATCTGTGTTTACAGAGTGAGAAAGTACGAACAAGGGGGGATGTTGCGTTTTCTTTAATTGGATTACTCAGTTTTATTTATAACATTGGCCTCCCCGAAAAAAGTTGAAAGATAAAATAGTGTTTTTGTCTGAAAGAAAGGTTTTGGGGTGGGTCGAGTATCTAAAAGAGATTTTAAGAGGACGCAAAAAATGGGCCCTATGAGCAGTAAAAGCCTCAGAAAGTGGCGTGGCTGAGTGTGAATGTCCACTAGGGAATGAACAGAACAGCCAACTTCCAAATCCATCGCTATTCATTGGTGATTGAACAAAGGGATCCCAACTATGTCTTCTTATATAAGTGATTCATGTGCCACTTTTCATGTAATTGTGCACTTCATTGCGTTTTCGCCAATCAACGTACAAGAAATTACGTACAACAACTTGAATTAAGATATATAGTCAAATGTCAAAACCTTTTTTTATGGCTTTCATTATGACATTAAATACTCAAAGTGCAGTGTTTCTTTGTAGTATAAATAAAGTGAAGTGATGTCTTAAATTATTTCATTTAAAATTAGACATGTTGAAGTTTTAATTAACAATCACATCAAAATCTGATAGCAAAAAATTAAATTGTTTATCATAGTGATGACAATTAAATAAGCAAAAGGATCAGTTATAATATGTAAAACTAAAAGGGAGATTCTCATATTGTTTAGCCCTCCCTTTCGATCTTGCGTGTAAAGTTATAACAGTGGCATCGTGCAGGCTCATTTCTTTTGGTTTTAGTGAATTGTGATCAGATGAAAACCACCATGCATCATATCCTCCCTGCCTTTCAATTTGGCTTCTTTCTGCATTTCTTTTTCAGTTTCTCATGTGAATTTGTAAAGTTTTTTGTCTTGTACGAAATTCAATGGATAAATCATTGTTTATTTTAAGTGAAAGTGAAAGTTTTCAAGTCTTATATTTTTATATATTTTCTTTCTTTTTCATATTATCTGTTATGTTATATATTTTTTTACTATCTCTGTGGTTTTTCAATCTATTTTTCATCCCTAAATAGGGTATGAAATAATAGGTTTTCAAACTTTTTATACTCAAAAAATTAAATACAAAACAAACATTCATAAATAGGATAATTCAAAAGCCTAACATAGTAGTGCAAGACTTAACACATTCATATTTACGGAATCAATCCATTTAATAGAAGATCTTATGTTTAAATTTTGTCGTGAGTGAAATTAGTCTTAAACTTTTAAAATTTTAGAATAACCAATCTTTTCTGACATTAAAATAGCATGTTTGTAATAGTATATAAAAACCGCTATATGTACAAGAAAAAACATATATGTATAAATACACACGATATCACATAAAATCTTACAATAATTTTTTTTATTAAAATCCATTCATAACACAATAACTCGATTTCTACATATTTACCATTGTTATCTTCTTAAACAATATTAATGGAGAATTCTCCAACCAATGGTTTCAAAACAAATCTATCATTCGTATATATTTTGCTTTTCTTGCCTTCAAGTAGATCTAGAACAAGAAAATTTTCGGTGAGATGTGGGTGATGGTGTAGCTGTTAGAATGACCTAGAAGTTCTAAACCGCTGATTAGATCACGTGGATGCCCAATCTGAGCTGTCTCTGGCCTCTTCTTTGATTGTTCATTAGACACTAAAAATAACATAAAATAAACCAAGAAAAAATAAAATAAAATAAAATGGCATAAGGTCAAATAGACATGTTTGAAGTTGAAACTTGGATGGTCCCTTGGTGCCTGTGGAGTACAGTCACTAGTTCCACAATTGGGTAGCTGGCCTGGTTCTACTGCTACTGCATGTGCACCTACCATCTACTTTATGCTCCATCTTGGTCAAACCCAAATAAGAAGGGTCTCTGTCCCTTTATGTGCCTAAACAATGAGTCCAATTGGTTCCAATGGTACAAATTTTTGTGGACCCCTTACCAAGATCCTCAACAACAGCCAGCTAGGACCATAAGCAATAATCCACTGTACCAAGCTAGCTCATTCATCATGATTAATGTGTGTTTCCATCAATTTGTATTTAAAAAACAATTACTTGTTTTTATTAACTTTTGAAAAATAGTGATTCTTTTTGTATATTAATAATATGTTCTCAAATAAATCCTAAGATTGATTTTGTATTTTTGGTAAACTAGGAGATTTAAAAGAAGTTGCATAAGGATACTTTGGTTTATATTAAATTTAAGTTGGATAATTATTCATGCATTGTAAAATTGTTTTAGTGTGTGTCAGAATAAATCGAAAAAGGTATATTGATTTTATAATTAATTATATGTATACTTGATTATTGTGATAACTGATCATATAAAATAAATTCTGTGTTTGGATATGTTAGATAAAAAAATATTTTATTGTGTTTGTATTGGATACATTTATTTTTTTAAAAATAAATGAAAAAATAAAAATTAACTAATGAATTTAAATCATAAATTCTAAAATTTTACTTATCCAAAATAAATTATTTCTTTATAAAAAAAAGTATAATCAAAGATTATAAATTAATTTCTAAAACTTAAAAAAATAACTTTCTAAACCTTTCTCACAGAATTCGCAAAAATATCTATTATAAACACAGCTATATATATTTTGAATTGACATCCAAGTTTATATTCTTTTGTTTTATAGTCAAATGGGTTATATTTCATTGACATTTTTGTGTACTTAATTCGTAGAAAAAATTAAGGTTAAGGTTTTTCTCTTTCTAGTCCACTTAATAATTTACAAGATGTGACGAGGATGGGATAGGAATGGATGAGACACATCCCATCCCTTCATTTTCTTGTCTCTAGCTGATTGCCATGGTGAAATGAGATCACCATGCATGCACTGCCACCGACTTGCATATGATATTCATAAATATAAATGTCATGCTATGAGTCACCTCTCAACTACTCTCATGAATATATAATCATAGATATTATATAATAATGCAATTCAAGACGGGAATAGAATGGACAGAGGTATAGTTGGTGAGGAGAAAAGAGGACCCATCTTTGCTTTTTGTTAATTCATGGGAATTCATGTTAGGATTAGAAAGTTATGAAGCCATTTAGCACATGTCTTGTCTCTGGGGTTTGCAGGTGAAGAATTTAACTTACCTTAGATTTTCCTCTGAATTTTTCTCATTCGAATTATCTATTATTGTATTGTTTTTTTCTTAAGACCAACTGGGCACATGTAGGGTAGGAAGTGAGAGACAAAAGAGTGTCTCATTAAGAAAACTCCATTTCCCACATTGAAACTGTAAGGAAAATTGGCTCTGTGATTGATTCAGTATCATCCATGCGGACATTAATTCCGTAGGTCGTGGTACCAATAAGTTTTTGCAATTTCATTTATTTTCCTTTTCTATTATTAGATGCATTGCAATTTAAATAGTGTATAAAAGGACCACATTTACGTCAAAAAAAAGTGAAAAGATTGTGAAAGGAAAAACTAGTGTCTTCCTATTTTTTTCTCCTTTGTATTCCCTTCATTTTTCGTATAACATAACTTGGCTGAAGTAGTAAAACTTTCGTCCTCCTACTCATCACAACTTATAGCCTCTGTCCTTTTATGCTCTTGTACCGTTCTTTTCAATCGTATATTCATTCAGATTTTTTACATCTTCGTTGTCTTTATTCAGGTTTGTCCTCTTTAAGATGAGAATTTATCAGTTCATACCCATTAAGTGAAATAGGGGAAGACAAGAGATATGAATTAAAAGAAAAAAGAAAAGAAAGAGAATGAGAACTATAATGAATGATATAATTAAAAAATAATTAAAATAAAAATAAAGACATAATAAAGAGTAAATATATAAATATAGTTGTTAGTTTAAGATAGAACCCAATTGAATCCTTCACGCTCTAGTTAAAATCTTAATCACGAATAATCTATCTTTATATAATTTACCTTCCGTGTCATTTTAGTTCTAATTGATGGCATTCGATCCTTTTTTTTTCTCAATTGTTATAATTGAGTCCTTTATCTTAACTTTTTTTTAATTTTATTTAATAATGAATGAAAATGTATGTGACATGATATTTTTTATAAGAGTTTAATTTTAATGCATTGTCAGTTTAAAATTTTTTATCCATCAATTAAAATATAAGATAAAAATGGCTTTTAAATTAATTATTATAAGAGTTAATAATTTCACTTCATAATTAAATAATAATTTTTTATATTAACCATATTTTTCAATTAAATTATTTTATAATTATAATATAATAAAAACTTAATTATAAATAACTAAATTATATTTTTCAAAAAACTTAAATTATTTTATATTATCCGTACATTTCAATAATAATATATTTTTCATAGACTGTCAATATCTATCAAATAACTTCTACTCTATAAATAACTAAATTGTAAAAGAAGGTTGATTTGTCTCTCCAAAATGAACCCTTCTTACAGTCCCACAACAATAAGTCAAACACTCTGGAAACAACCCCCCGAGAGTCAGAAGAATCAAAACACCTTCGTCCTTGCGTAGTAGAAAGGCGAAGATTGATTCTTGTTCAGAAGATTGGGACCTTATGGCAATGTGCCTACAGTTTGATCCTTAAACCTTTCTATTTCTTCATACTCTCATTAAGGGAAATCTTTTAACAAATAAAAGGAAAAAAAAAAGGGAAATCTTATTGAAGAATCAGGTCAGTAGCTCATTTTGCCTCCTTGCTTTCCAAAAATAGGGACCAAAAAAAACGTCCCAGTAATTCATGATCTCTTTGATGTTACTCTCTTAATAATTTACGTTAATTATTTGGCGGAATTTGAATGAAAATTAAGGTAAGGGATATAATTTAATATCTGAAAAATTATAAACTAAATTTATACGTAAAATAAAATATAAAGCCTAAACATAATTAACCTACTAAATTATGAACAAATGTTTTATAATTGTCTTTTTTGAGTGTCTTTAAGAGTATATTTCACGTATGTTGTTATGAAAATATAAGTAAACTAATCTCTACCATTGTATTTATGGACAATGATTAAGTTGCTTCGCCTTGATCAACTAGCCAATTAGGGAGTTCAATTTCTTCTTGTATAGGACCTTTCTTCTATCATTCGATGCGTGTTTAGCTCAACGAAAATTGTGAAAGTTCAGACAATGACCCTCAAAAGTTTATTTTTAAGCCTCGCTACTCATTAGATGAACATTCCGAAAAGGAAAAAATAATATAATAATGGCTTCGCATGTACAAAAGTGATATGCAAAGGTGGCAGGTCTCACTAATTGCCAAGGCCCTTGGGGCTAATATAGCTAGCTAGCATTTCATGATGGCGTCTTATCGAGTCTTGTTGATAGTTTGCCTCTAATTTTGGCTGATAAAGTTATAAACTAATAGAAAAGTCTCGGTGAGAGGAAAAAATCAATATAAAAAAATAAAATTTTTTTATTAAAAATTTCTCTAAAAATTTCCGCAGATTGGACTTTTTCCATGGTTGAAGGGTTTCGAAGACTGAAAATATATATCTTCAGTTCTAGTTTCCTTTGTATGAAACAGCTTCCAATGAAGTAGTAGCTGCGCATAATGCGTGGCATAAACCCGGGAATGTTGGATAAGAGCTACAAGATCATTTGTCAAGGTTAGTAAAGTTAAAGTTGGATAAGGACCCAAAAAATGCATCCGCAACTCCTTCTTTTTCCCCAGATTTGCTTAAATGAGGGGACACATATACATGGCATCCTCCTTTGCACTTCCTATTCCTAAACATCCCCCAAAGTGCTACTAGTCATGATCTTTGTTTAGCTTTAGCAAAATCAAAGTTGGATATACAAGGACATATATCATGATCATTCAGATTGCCAAGGTTAGCGAAATCCTTGCTTCAGCCAATGCTATGTTAGGCTGAATACTAGCAGATCTCCATAGGAATAGCATGAGGGTTGAATTATCTGGCGAATGGATTGGATCAAAATGAATGTCAATAATCGATCGTCCAAAGGGTTCAATATGTGCCGTTGTATGATGTGTAATGCTTTTGGTAATTGGGTTGGAGGTTTTCTTCGCCATCCATTTGGACTTTACATGATATGCAGAGGTGGAAGTAGTAATCCTAATAAAACGGTAACACAAATATATATATATATGTCTTTGAATTCTGAAAAACTGTTTAACAAACATGAAATTATTTCTTTGAATACAAAGAAGCAAGATACTAAGCATTGTAGCCAAAACAATAATCTTATCCGCACCAGAATATCTAGAGTAAAAAATAAACTCAGGATAATAATCAAACATAATTTAGGAGTCCTCAGCATCAATATATATCAAAGGGTCCTAATTTTTCACAGTTGTTACATACTTGAGGAGCATGGCAGCAACATCATCTGATATTCTTGCAGCCTCCGTTTTCAGGTGATGAATTTTAGCATCAGTCTCTTGCTCAAGCCGCTTGACATTAGCTCCAGAATCTCCACTACTCTGTATTAATAAGAAAGCATGGACACGTGGGAGTTAGAGAATACATCATAAATTAGAATAATGTAAAGGGAAAGTCTAACAGCATCAAATATAATGATGGACTTACATCAGACAGTTTCTTTTGAAACGCATGTTCTAGTTGAGCCCGGTATTCAGCAATCTCCTTTTCAGCCTCTTCCTTGGCCTGTTTCAACCTAGCCATTTTCTCTAACAGTACAGATGCAGAGGACAACATTATACACAAGTACCATTCTAAAAAAGGGAAAAGGGGTGGTTGAAGTTTGGCAGTTTGGCACTAGTATATTATAGCAAATATTTTCAACCTGAGAATTTGTTCTATCACATATATGAGGAGGCAAGCAAACCCATGCACATCATAAAACCAAGAACCCAACCTTCCAGGTAAGAATGAAATGACCAATATAAAAAGAATAAATGGGAGAACAGAACACTTTTGACATAAAAAAAACTAAGATATAAAAGTTTTCATGAAGACGCATAATTAGGTGAAATTATGCAAAATCATGGGAAGATATGAAAAATAGTGAAGTTAAAATACCATTTTTTGCAGCATTGACAATCCGTTGTGCTTCTTGTTCAGCAGCCAACAACTGCTGAATTCCACCTTGACCCCTGCTAGATGCCATTCTGCAATGCATACCATTGGTAACTATTAACAAATGCTGAATTGATTAAGGGTCTGTTTGGAACAGCTTGTGACTCGCATAAAAAAATTTCAACTTTTTTTAATAAGCTTCTTAGTATAGTTTATCAAAAAAAGTTATTTTCAGCTTATTCCAATAAGTATCATTGTTAAATTTATTACATAATTCATCATTTAAAAAGACCTCGTTGAATAAACATTTAAATAAACTATGAATCCAAAGCCACGAAAGAAAACACAAAGCAAGTCCTTCAGAGCAACATAAGTAAATAATTACGCAAACAAAACCACTTGATTGTGACTTGGAAATAGGCAAGGGAATAGAGCAAAGAATGGAACAACAAGAAGAGAACTACTTCTATCATTTAGAACCGAACTTTCGAACTAAACAAATTATATTACCAACCGAGTACTCTTCTCCCTCAAAACAAAGAGGGAGAAAATCCAATATATAAAATTACATAGAGCGAAACGATATAGAATGGAAGAATGCAACTATACCCAGAATCACAAATTTTACGTGGTCAAACTTCTCTGGAAACGTTGTTATTATTATTATTTAACATGGAAAACCTAGAAGAGCTAATCACCATACAACGGAATCGAAATTCAGTTGATACAATAGTTAATCTCCAATAGCGATAAGATGAGGTCCAATTTCGAGAGATCCAAGTGTAGTTAAAGTTCAATCACCATTTTTAATTAAAATTTTGCAGGTGACGGAACAGACAGGAAAATGATGCGAAAAGGGAAATTTGGTAAAGAGAGTTGAAAGAGAAAGGGATCGGAATCGCATTTGCATAGATCTGAAGAGAAGAAGAGAAGAAGAGAGAAGAGAGAAGCGTACCTATCGGAGGTATTAGATTCAGAAAAAATAGGAGAGAGATCAGCAGAAATTTCCGACTTCTGTCAAACGATTACTGTTTTTCCGTTCTTTCTTAATCCAATACACTGTGGCCACCTTCTTTTTCCCCCCACCAATTTTCGCTAATACGATTTTTTTAAGCCCGAATTGATGAATGAATTTAATTAATATTTTTTTGTGAGTTTTAATTTTTTTAGATGATTAATTAGTGGATCTTATAGTTAGTTATAATAAGATTCTTTAATAAAAAAATATTTTATATATATATATATATATTATATTATGTTAATTAAGAATATAAAGAGAAAAGAGTTAAATATTGTTTTAATCTTTAAAAAAAATTAAAATTTTGGTTTTAATTCTTTAATTTCTAACACATGATTTTAGTTTTCTTTTAAAACTGTATCTGTAATTAACTTTATCCAGTGATGATTTGATATGCAAAACTTTACTTTAACTATGTCACTTGTCTAATTAATCGTACTATTATTTTATATTATATATATATCAAATTTAAAAATAAATTAGTAATTATTTTTTAAAACAAAATAGTATCTTTTTAATTCTCAAAAAGTTAATATTGATTCAAATGATAAATATTTACTTGAAGTAGTAGACATATTTATTTCTTGACCGCTACTCATGTTAGTGTCATTTTCATTGAGCATATCATGCATGATCATATTCTAAAAGAATTATAAATAAATTAAAATAATATTTAATAAAATATAGAAAAACTCACAAATTATATAAATAAATAATTATATTATTTTTTTAACAGATTCATTTGCATTCATATTCACATTATTTTTGTTCGTATCCACTTTTTCAAACTTACTCTTCCAAAATAAAAATTAATTATATTTTTGTTAACCATAAAAAATTATTTAAATATTATTGAATTATTAAAATATTTTATACTTACAAAATGTTCATCAAATTCTAAAGATGAATTTTTTTTTTATCAATAATGCATAAACTTTTTCTTATAAATAGTTAGAGATATCTTTGAACCGTGTGTTTAATTTGTTTATAACAAAAATAACATATATTTTTATTGTATTTGGTACACCTTTAATCTTGACCAAAGTTAGGTTACTTATAACAATTGAAGAGATACTTTACTTATACTTAAGATTATGTCACTTGTTTATTTAATAGTAAGTTTTTAAATTTCTTCAATAATTTCTTTAAAATTATTTGATTATTTTACAGCAAGATTACAAATCTTGTTACAAGTATTAGCCAATACAACTTTCTACAACTTTACTATCACATTGTTCCTCTAAAAGTAATGAAATATGACTCAACATTCACATGCTATTACTTCATAGCACAAAAAAATATGATAATACTAAATACCACAACTTTTAAAAAATTAATAATTACATTAAAATTTATTTTTAATTTTGTCATAGACAATAGAAAACTCAATCTTTGAATTACAAAACTTATTTATCTCTAATCTTACATTACTATCATTCTTTAAACGTTAAACTATATTTAGAGCAACAACACTTTCTATTTTATTTTTCACAATCTTAAATTTATTAACTGTGAAAAGTTTGCAAGTTTCAGTTTCAATTTTGTATAGACGTGGTTATTACATGCTCCAGCTAAATAGACCAATTTTGGATACTCCTGCCATGTGACAGAAAGGGTGTGAATAGCATGGAGCATGAATGTGGGTGGAGAAGAAAAATAGAAATGCTCTTGTAGCTTTGTCAATAATGGATTTATTTCCTCATCTGATAAGATCATCCAAATTAAAATGCTTTGCACTGGTCATATTATTCTGCTTGGTGTATAAATATGAATGGAAGAACTTCCGAATGAGTTATTGTCAAGAAGAAATTATTATAATTCCGGTGTCTAAACTTGTGATTTCACTAGATCATTCTCAAACTATGCATTACCATTCCCAAGCCTTTTGAATTTATAGAGAGAATCATTAGGAGTTCTTTTACACATTCTGCCATTGATGGTTTCTCATTACCGTCTGTTCAGACACATCTTGATGGTAGATTGGAAAACGTGACTACAGACTGAAGGGTGTAAGAATTTCGAGCCATATCTGGATCTATCACCTTACAAAGCTTCTTGCGGTCATTCAATATGTGCCTCCCCTGTCAAATGAATTAAAGTTGTGCTGTTGTATGAATGTAACATTCTGTAACCTGGGAACCGAAATCTTTTGAAGGGGATTTCAAGTGAAAGTACTATTCATTCTACTGGTAAATCTTTGGAAGTTTTTAAAATTCATGTGATCACTTAAAAAAGTCATATGACTATTTTTTATTTCATTCATGAATGCATGATACTATGCCTGAGTGCTTGGATTAAATTCATCTATCTCTATGCCTTGTGCTTCTTCTTACACCAAACCAAATCATATTTACTATACCGACAACTTATTTGAACATCGTTGTGTAATAGATGTAGAATAACATCGTTATATAAGCGACGACGAAGACAACGACGACGGAGACGAAGAAGAACATAGTTATGTGAGCGACAAAGAAGAACATCGTAATGTAAGCGACGAAGAACCTTCAACTTACGTGTTGTTGGTTGTATTGGTGGTGTTTGATTTGGAAGACAGTAGCAATAATCATCTTTTTTCCGACTGCAAGATTCCTTTTTCCTGTTCCAGTTTGGTAGTTGTGCTAACGAGTTTTATTTTCATTTTTAATTTATTTTATTTTGTACGGATAAAAATCATGGTGAGAGATTATTTGCGATTAATATCTATTTTTATTATGATTATTGAATAAATAATTGCTTGTTTATTTTGCTTATTGGACATGTATCGATTTTTACCATTTTGCAAAGAAAGAATTTTTAATTAAAAAAAAAAAAGAATGAATGGTGAACTTTAGCACCTTAAGATGTTACTAAGAAAAAATAAAATAAAATAAACATACTTTCACCAACTATTTTCCTTCCTAACCCTTCCAATTTTTTAAACTATAATATATTTTAATTAATTAACAGTGTAGAAATTTTTATATTTTAATTTCATTAAAATTACACTTAATAAATATTCAAAAGTAAAACTTGAACTGCGATAAACAAATTACCAAAATATGTTACCCGTCAAGATTTTAGACTGTTATTATATTTTAAAAACATAATTTTATATGATTTTAAATTTCAATTCATTTGTGGTATAAGTTGGTTTTTGTTAAAATGACAATTTATTTTTTAATATAAGACATTTAAATATATTAATGTAATTAATAGACAATTAAATTATTTTTTTTGCACATTTTGTAAAAATTATTTTAATTAATTAGCATTATAATTTTTCTTCCACTATCAATGCATTAAAATTAATCTCTAACAAAACATTCAAGACTGAAACTTGAACTGCAATTAACAAATTTTCAGAATGTTTAAAATTGTAGACTGTTATTATATTTTGAAAGAATAAATTTAGATGATTTTAAATTTCAATTGATTCATGGTATAAATTGATTTTTAATAAAATTACTTAAAATGGGTCAAAGGGTACCTTTTCAAAAAGATTAAGACAATTTTGGTTGTCTTTAAATTCAACTTTAGCTCAATTAATGTCATTTTAAACATATTCTTGAAATTAAATTGTCAACAACCATTAAAAAGATATTGACATGTTACAACAAAATCAAGAGGTTAGCTCATCTTGAACATACCCTTTGACCCATTATGTGTAATTTTTAGTGTGTTTATTATTTGAACATGGATGCAAAGGAAATGTGGTAAGGTTAGCTAATCTACTTTGTCAATTGGTCATATGTAGCTCTTATAGATGCAAAAATGAAAGCATTAAATTGGTGGCAAAGTAAGATTTTGTCACAAATTAAGATGTAGCAAATAATTTGTAGGACTATAAAGAGGTGGTTTGTAAAAAAGTAAGTATAACCTTGTTCTTTTCTTGTATTATCACAAAATCACTTTAGAGGATCAATAGCAGTTTGGTAGTGCAATATAGAAGTTTGAATTGTCAACTTAACATACCAAATAAATTAGTAATATATATAAAGTATGGATCAAAAGAGTCGAATTGTTAACTTAACATACCAAATAAATTAGTAATATATATAAAGTATGGATCAAAAGAGTCTTTAGAGAAGAAAGAGTTCCCAAGTTGGAGATAAGGTCAGCTATTGTCCCCTGCCTTGGTCAATTATAGCTTGGTTAGGTTTGGTAATGTGGGAAGGTATTTCATCTCATCATCCAAATCTACTTAACTCGTTCACATTTTTGTTTCACTTCAATTAAAAAATTCAAATATTCAAATATGTGTTAATTTTCATTCACAGAAGTAGTAATGATTTTTCAAAATCTAAAAAGATAGACTGGTATAAGAATTTATCTTTCAATGCCTTAAGTTAAAATGTGTCATTCGCTTAGATTGTATTAATGATAAAAACGTGTATTCAATTTAACCATTTGCATGGTCTCTCCTAAGACTGACATCTTTTTCAAATGAATTAAACCTCAATACTACATTAATCAAAGAGAGACGACTATCTTTGAGGGTCAATAGTCCCTTATTAGAGTGAGTCAATTCCTTCTTTAGTTCTTTATAGTTGTAAGTATAAATTAAGAGGTATGAGTGCATGATCTTTTCTCCCACAAACTTAAAGAAAGAGATCATAGGAGGATATTAAAAATTCATGGATTTTTTAAAGTTAGAGCAACTATTTCCTTAGAATTCCTCTGAAATAGTTCCAAAGAAAGCTCTCTAACAAAAAAGAGTTTTGAACAATTCAACATAAAACCACAATACATTGATTGCAAAAAAAACTAGTAACGATTCAAAATTATACTAACATCTGAAATCCAATAACGATATAAATGGTGAATTGAAATAATATATTCACAAATTACTTAAGTAAAAAAATTCACAAACAAGAAGATTCATTCAATTTATAAGAAAAATCACAATTTTACAGTATATAGGACTCATCATACTAGAAAAGTTCAAAGAGATTAAAAATGAATAATGATTAAAAATTATAGGTGAGAGTGCAGATAGAGTTTAGAATCTTAATTTAATGTGAAAAGTTAATGAATAATATAGTGTCTTTCGTATTCATAAGATGAGAAGAAGGTTAAGTTAT